TAGTGCGAAACCCAGTCAGGTAAGTTTGTAATATCCGAAATGAGGGCGCAACAGTTTGTTGAAGTCTTCAGCTTAAAAAATCTTTCTCAGGTTAAAAGTAAGCAGATTCTATTTCACTTAATCTTGCTTTGTATTGTTTTTTAACGTCAGATTTTAGACAGTCAAGAAATAGAAATACCTCGCCGGCATAGCCGATTCACGCAGGACACTCTTGAAAGTCGACCAAAAACGGCGCCACGTACGGTATCTCAGGATAGCGTCGGCGCGACCCATCCCATTTTTCAGATATTGGCTAGACCAAAATAATATCGGCACAATCTTTCCGATTTAATTCCATAACAGCGCAATAGTGTATGCTGCCTAGGCTGTATATTTACACGTCTTCATTCTTTTTTTTTTTTTTTGCGAGCGGAGATGAGTTTTTCTATAATCAAAATTGAACCGATAAAACTGATGCACGCGCGAAACGTAATTTTAGGCTCGTGTCGAACGAAGAATTCAATAGGAGTTGCAAAAACTATTCTCTAGCACTTCCTAATCATACGCGACTCCGTGTGGCGATTAATTACACTCGATGTTTGTACCGCCGTACATCAGCAACAGTTTCACCAAACCAATAAATATGAACGGCTATGAAATCGTGGGTGTATTTGACAGCATCATCATTACGCCCCTTTCACACCGTGTGGATGAAGGGCGTAAAATTCGCCCATACACCCTTTTTACACGATTTCAGACACCATCGCTGCAAGTGGGGCGTAAAGAGGGCGTGTAAAGGGTGTAAAACCTCAGCGCACCCTTTTTACACCAACCGATATTCAGAAATCGTGTAAAAAGCGTGTAAAAAGGGTGTTTTTCCTAACCTACACCCTTCCTACACCCTTTTTACACGATTATGGGTGTTACAATGTTTAGTGTGTACTTCGAGTATGTTTAGAAAACTTATTCCTTGATTGAAGTCCATTCTCTTGAGTGTGTACTTGTAGTTTTCTTTAGGTACCTTTTCGGTACTTTTCGAGGAAAGTACAAATTCCGACTTCAAAACACATTTCACAAATTTTGTCTCTTTAAATTTGCATTCTAAAATGATGCTTTCTCTACAAATATGTGCCTTACAAGTTGATCATGTTAAATAGTTCGTCAGCGAAAGCAGAACAACTACTTTGTGGCGACTTTACTTTATCCAATATTCGCCACCATTTCTCAAAATAACTGACGCACCGCCGATTATCCCTGGAACAAAGCATACCAGCTAAAAAAAACATTGTATAGAGGAATGAAATGCCTTCATGTAAGATTGGTTAAAAAAGTACGTGTACTTTACTTTGAAACAAGATTTTATTTATAGTAGTTTACTCAGTACCATTGTGCCCGGTGCACTTACAACTTTACTTGAATCACATGTAGACTTTCATGTACATTGTACTTCATCTACATTGTGTCCGGTGTACTTACTACTTTACTCGAAGTACGTAACCTCTCATTTACTTTGTGCTTTACTTCAAGTACATTGTGCCCGGTGTACTTGCCTATTTGCTTGAAGTGCATAACCTTTCATTTACTTTGTACTTTATTTCAAGTACTTTTTGTATTTTACCCAGCTATGAAAATAAATACCTATATAAAAACTCGTATCCACGTGCTCAAGTAACCGCTCAGCAGCTGGAGAACCAACCATGATGATCGTTACTTGTATTGACAAAGAGAGAGGTTGGTTGGCTAAAATCCGAAATGAAATGCAGCGTTGTCCGAACGGTGGACCACCCCCTGTGTATTATCCACAAAAAAAATGTTCACCGACAAAAAAAAAAAAAAAAAAAAAGTTTTGTTTTTTTGATTTTTTACACCTGGTGCACAGTCCGCACACAAAGATATCTCATATTCTAAACTTGAAAAGATTGTTTTTGTGTGTGTGAAATAGATTTTGTTTTGTTTAGAATTAATCATTAACATAATCTGTCGTTCACAAAATCCGTCAATATCGTCATAATGAAGGGTTTTGTATAATCCTCGCCTGAAGCTAGTCTGTATAGTGCATGTATACTGCGCGGCCCACCGTCTCGACAATGCTAATATCAACACCGCCCCCCCCCCCCCCTTTCGCCATAAAAAAAGCGTGTTATGATGCAAGTCGCCTGTAATAACGATAAAAATGCTAGTATTTCCCCAGCTCGTCCCAGAAAAGGCAGTGTTTTATAGCGGGATATGCAAATTAACGGAGTTCGTATTAAGCAGACGTGACGTATTCCTCTTGATGTATCTGCCGAGAGTAGTTCCCATTTGCTGCCATTTCACTAGGGAGTTTTAGTAGACCGTGTTTCCCGCTCCGCTAGCCCTCCGTTACGAAGAAACCGCCACTGCGCCTGCGCGCCGATGGCCTTGGCTGTAGAGTTCCTGGTAGCGGAGGGGCTTAGCGGAGGGGCTTAGCGGAGGGGGAAACACGGTCTACTAAAACTCGCTAATAGCGAGTTTTAGTAGACCGTGTTTCCCGCTCCGCTGAGCCCCTCCGCTACCCGGAACTCTACAGCCAAGGCCATCGGCGCGCAGGCGCAGTGGCGGTTCCGCGCTCCGCTCTGCAGAGCGAGTGGACGAAAACGATCTACTAAAACTCCCTATTATCTTTCTCTATCCGCTTCGCTTACTCTCTTTCAAGATTCGGGTTGAGTTCCCAGGGACGCGCTGGTGGAAATGTTAATCACACTCCCCATACTGTCGCTCTCTTCAGTTCATATATGATATTAGGGAGTTTTGAAGGAGTTGAGGAATGAGTAATGTTTGAAATACAAGTATCTTAAACACGTATTTGAAATACTTATTTTGTATTTCGCACTTAATTTCGTATCAAGAAAAGCCTATTGCATTTAAATACAAAATATTTTGCATTTCAAGTACTTGCAGCCATTTCAAATACTGAATTAATACAATTTTGCGCAATTTTCCTTGCAATCAAATCCAATTTTAGACACTCTTTGCGATGGGAATCATACAAGAGGCTTTCTGTTGAAAAATTTAGGCTTGAGGAGAAAATGAAGAGAAGAACAAAGAATGAACGGATGGGTAAAATTATCAGGTTTTTGATTCAGTGATTTTATTTCTGAAAAACGTCGCACTACCGATATGTTGTTTTAAAAAGGCCTCGTTACTTCAAATGAACCTTTGATATTAAACTCACGCTGAAAACGCTGTTTTCTTGATATTGTACCTACTTATCTTATGACAGACAAAGTTCACTTTCAAGCTGCGACGTTTTTAAGCACTTAATTCTTGCTACGTATAGGCTCAACTCTTTATATTTTCACGATCTGTATCCGGGGTAGAACCTCGAATATTAGTCTCGATGTCAAACCATGGGAATAAAATTCACTCGGAGAAGTATTTTAATATGATAAACAAAACGTGTTTAATTTTTATGTTTCATTAAAATACTTCTCTTAGAAGTGAAATCGGCATTGTAATAACAAGCAATTTATTAAACTATTTTGTATTTGTATTTCGGTGTATTTTTGCAAGTATTTTGCGCATCCTGTTCCGAGCTTTCTATACCCGCTTGCTTCGTTCTGAGAAAATACGGACTTTACTAACTCTCCCCATTTGTTTTTCTCTATCTGAATATTGTTTAGAAGTCTATTAAATATATACCCACCGCGCGTAAGAACATGATCGCAAGTTCTAAAAAAAATATTGGATTAAAGAGCTTCGCCAATGACTGACCCACCTCCAGAACCTTGGGAGCGAGCTGGCTGATTAAATAGTAAGCGCTTTCGTCGCTTGGGACAGAAGGAGAAAGAAAATCACGTGAGCGAACTTAAAAGGTAAGCAGAAGCACGAGGTGTACAAATAGCGGACACATTCCTGTAGACTAAAAGTGCTTAATTTTATTACGTATGTAAAATCACTTTCCTTTTACCTGGAGCTATTCAAATATTCGAAATTTCTTATACGATTCGAATATTAGAAATTCACAATCGATTCGAAACACGGTCCTCAGTATTTCTCTAATATTCGACACGCTACAATTGTTCACAAATAACCCAAAGTTTGATGACTAGTTTTATTTTCGGTTTCAGTATGCAAGTCTCGTCGAAGGTGACATAGCACCTTAGTGGCTTGTCACCCAGATACCCCGATTGACGATGCGGTAGCTCTACTTTAGGCTCTAGTTCCCGTTCCTTACTGACTTTTTCACCAGTCATTCAACTAATTTAGCGATACGAATGTGCGCCGGGTGCTGTGCAACGTGTAATATGGCGGTCTCCGTCCTCGCGCTCTTAATAACGATCGACTTGTTTTACCGACTGAAAATTGTAAGCCCACTATTGGAGGAAAGCTATGACGCAGCAGCGTCGCGATTCACGACTGGTGCGGTACGCCGGCGGCCTTCTTCGCCACACCTTAACGTAAGACGGTCGAGCCGGCTATCATAGCACGGACACTGCGGGAATGAGAATGGGAGGGCGTGTCTTTAGGACGCGCGACCTCCAGCACGGACTCGCTGACTTCCGTCGTGCTTTGGTTGCTCGTGCACGCTCCATGCTCACGAGGACGCCGAAAGTCGTCCGCTTAATGTGCAGGAACTGCGTTGGCGTCAGAACGACGCCGATCTCTGATAGGCTTTGACTGAAAGGAGAGTGGCTAGACATCAATGCTAGAGGCCTCGAGGTCTACCCACTATTTTGTTTTCGATAGGCCCACGGAAGCTCGGCGTTCTTTACGCTTTTTCCCTCCAAACGCCATCAATAAAGGATTCACGCAGTGCCGGCTACGCAGCGCGACGTTGTCACTCGGAGACGCAGAGACGGAAGGGTCTGCCACCTTGCGGCGGCTTTAGTCGAGCTTCACTGTCTTTACAGCTCGGACGGGGTCGTGGTATTCATTTTGACGACGGCCTTCTCTTTTAGGTGGTATTGACTGGAGGCGGTACACGTGACCCTCGTCCCTGCCGTTCTCAGGCTGTCTGTGACTGTGTTATTTGGGTTGCGATGGAGTAAGGTGCAGCTCACCTGGACTCCTGGAGGCCGGCGGCATGCTGAGACGCGACTGCCAGGTCCGGGTCGCTGTCCAGGCGGCTGCGCTTTACCTGCGCCAGCGGAAGAGCGCGCCTGTTAAGAGTGGGTCCTGGGATTGTTTTACAATAATTTAAAAAAGTTTTTTTTTTTTTTTTTGGGTGGGTGATGGGGAAGGGCGTTTAATCTAGAAGGTGGTTTCACCAAACGCCTTTTCACTTGCAGTGTGGCGTCACAGAGCGCCTTTCTGACTGGTGTGTTTAGCGTCCTATCTCGACCAGGGCCGTCCTTATTCGTTCCTCCAGTTCGTCGCTCGCCCTCCCACGGCGGAAAGAGGAAGCGCTCTAGTGCAGGTCCCCCGGTTCTTCTGCGTAGCGGGCACGGCGGTACTGGTAGCGATCATGGCTCACGAAGAGTCATTTCTGAATGCAAACACCACTTTTCACTGACCCGATGGAGTGCTGCAGCCGGCATGTGACTTACCTTACTAGAGAGTTTTAATACTGCGCATAGAAGCAAACGCAAGCGCCGTGCGTTTGTGTTAGAGTTGCGTGCTTCACGCTGCATATGCGCGTCGTTGCCATGCGCCAATCCAAGAAAGTGATTTCGGGCTCCGCGCACGCGAAATGTGGAACACGCAACGCTAACGCAAACACAAAGTGCTTGCGTTCGCTGGTATACGCAATACTAAAACATGTTACTGTTTCACCGGTCACCCAACGCCAACGAAACGTACTGCAGTGAGCAGACGTGAAAGCTGGTGGGCGCTCCTTCGAACTGGAAAGGCTGAGGTTGCAAAAAGGCAACGCGTAAAAGTAAAAAAAAAAAAAGGCTTTGTGTAGTTTTATAATTAAAACAACATCAAATATGTTTTGTTTTTGATTGCTTTTTTATTTTGGAGCATGTGGTCTGGAAGGATTTTGACGGCGAGTTTTGGAGGAAGTGTTTCTGAATGCCAAAAATCGCGACTTTGATGTAGCCATGTGCTTTACCCTCAATTAATGTCATTTTACGTCTATTTTTTAGATTAGCTAGGATGTTTAGACTATTTTCGTTTTATAACGTATTAATTAAGAATGCTGGCAATTGGCACCAGTGATGATAACTTGCAACTTCGGATTGCCATTGCTGTTCGCGAGTTTGCAATTGGATCATAAACAAAAAAAATATAATAGAGTTTGAAATACTATTTATTAAATTATCTTCAAATTATTATTAGTGACTATAAATTGCGGTATTGTAGGCCCCGAAAAACCCCACACTCACAAAAACAAGCCATTTAACCATACTATAGCTTTAAAGAAAGGTCTCATTTTAATTTCTTTTTAGCACAAGAAAAACTCTGGCATCATTTTCGAGATAGATATAAATACCTCATGTAATATTAAGTCTCATGTGTCACGCGTTGCTTTAAAAAACACACACATACGTCTGTTGTCTGACTCGAATTTTGTTTTGGGGTTTTCGTAGCGAGAACAACCTCTCTTAATTTACACGTTTTGTGAGCATATTCTAAACTAATCACCCATAGCGATATTTTGTAAAATTTGGATTGATTCCATTATACTTGTGCTGGGAATAATGATTAAGCAATTAATCATCTAAATACTTAAAACCCATTAAGGGGCCCACAGGTCGTTATTTCACATGACCTTTATCCGAGTAAAAATAAAAAGGTTCCAAGAACACATAAATACCAGCGCTGATTTGTTCGACAAATACAATATTCTATTACCTCTTGGCTGAAGGGAAGGCCTTACCCTGCCTTTAAATGGACAGTGAACTCTACAAAATATTTTTTTTTAATTTCCTCGATCGGATATGCATCTCACAAAATAAAGTTACCACTAACAAGTTCTGTCGCATAATAATTTCGCTGTGAGGCACATCTTGAGGTAAGAGAGAAACTGAAATGAATTCCTATACTGAGATATTAAATTCAAAATAGAAGTTAGTGTCGGTTTCGTTCCTGAATTAAAACGTGCCTCCCGGCGTAAATATTACGCTAAACACCGTTTTTAATTTCAGAATAAAAAGGTGACCTGCGCGAATATCACCCTAGCTTCCTCGTACAAGCGGGGATAATTTGTGTCGCTGAGTGAAACCAGTATACTAGACATGGTTCAGCAACTGGTATACGAGCACGCATCTCCGGCCCTCACTCTAACCCTCATTTTGAAAAACGAGTGGCGCCACCTATAGACAGTTGGATTCGCGAATATCATCGCGCACCTGAGCGCGCTCCGGCCGTTAAGCACCCCCCCCCCCCTTTTTTTTTTTTAATTTGTACACCCGTATTTATAGGGTGTTTGAAATAACAATGCTCGATCTAAAATGGGCCGTAAAAATCGGCGCCTGCACGTAGCAATCTAAACTTTTTGTCAAAGGTGTAATTGACAGGTCGGCTTTATCCTGCAAAATTACAAAGCGCAGCTCCCTTTCTGTAAAAAATAGGGCCCAAAAACTTGCCAGGGCCAACAGCGGTCGGCGACACAGACGACCGAGTCGAGTGGCGGGGTCCGTTTCACGCACGTATTGATAGATGGCGCTACCTCCTTTCGAGACTGCTCGCGACGACCGTGGTCTATAAAAATGAACGCAACCGTTTATGTTATGTAACTTTAGTTTAAAACTAAATGCGAGAATAAAAATAAACCTAAGTAAAATAAAAAAAAAATATAAAAAATGAGGTCGCATAAGGCCTGCTGCCGACGGAATTTTTGCTGCCGACGGAATTCGTCTGCGTGTCGTCTGCTTTCTTTCGCTGATCGGCTACATCTTCCGACGCTGCTCCTGACGCCATCTATTAATACGTGCGCCAAGCGTGCTCCGCCACTCGACCCGGTCATCTGCGCCGCCGTTCGTGGTTGACCCCGGCGAGCCTTTTTTTGGCCTTGTTTGTTTACAGAAAAATAGCTACGCTTTGTAATTTAACAGGATAAAGCCGACCTGTGAAATACACATTAGTCGAAAAGTTTAGATTGATACATGCAGGCGCCAATTTTTACGGTCCATTTTAGATCGACCCTGGTAACTTTAGACACCCTATACTATGTATGACACCACGTTGCTAGAAAACGGGTGAGAAGTGGCCCAAGACGAGCTCTTTGTCAGACGAAAACCACATTACAAGAAACGAACGGCGATCGAGCATATAGCGTCGTGTCGGGGGCTCTGTTCAAGTGAATCAAAAAGCTAAAACAAATCTAAACGGGAAACGCGGCGGCACCCGCCTATTGATGACTGTTCAGATTAAACAGTCACAACAAACCGAATTCGTTTTTTTTTTTTTTTGATCAGAGTAATCCAATATGACGATTCGAAGGCCGTTTCGGGTGTGACCAAAGCACGGATTAGAGCGAAGCGCTCGTGCTCAACCCGTGCTAGGCAAAGTTTAATTTCTTTTGTGACGCTGTGTCAGGAAACACCGGGCTGTGAGGACAACAAGCTCGATAAAGCGCCCCTATATTTCGATTTCCTGCCCAATAGCATTGCATCGGGTCCACGTCGCTTTGCCGAAACGCGTGTCGAGGACACCTTTCTTCGTTTTGTGTTGTTTGGTGGAAACTTGTTTCGCGGCCTCATGCTGATGCGACGTTTTGCTGACAACTTATTTTTAAACAAAATCTTGAATCAGCCGAAGGCTAGGTGCCCTTCCTCCTTTTCACTCTCTCCCCTCGTAAATAAGGCGGGACGCAAAACGTGTGTTGCAAACGAAGCAGGGTTGTGTTTGATCAAGCGACTCAAGGTGCGTCGGTAAAACGAACGCAGGGAAGTCTCTCGAGAAAACGAACTGTTCATGTAATGTTGCATGTCGACGATACGATCTGCCACTGTAACTATTTTTACTCCTCCTGCCGAAGTCTCTGGTTAATTTTTTTGTGGAAGGCTTTTAACGCCGTTTCTAATGTTTCAGTTACTGCGAGATATTTATGTGAATAAGAGTGCACCAAAAATCAGTCTCCCCTCCTTTTCTTTTGCGAAATAAGATACTAGTGAAACGTCCACAAACGCAAGCGTTGATTGAACTCTCAAAATATTGGGTATATAGATATACTAGTTAAATATATTAAACTCTAATAAACGAGCTTTCCCAAATATTACTTGGTGTAATATCCCAATATTTAAGCTCGTTACGTAATTATTTTTTCTACTTTTGTCTACCTAGCTTGCCCTCGAGCTCAAACTTCGATTCAAAAAGAGAATGACTGAAATGGAGAGACAAATATGGGAATTCCCGTGGTGTTTCGACAAGATCGATGCCATGAATCCAGTTCATTTGTCAAAATCAACATGCACCGAGAGCTCAGAACAGACGTTTTGAGCTCATCACTCTGGTAAGTAACGCGGCTAACTATTTATATATATAAAAAAAAAAAAAAAATTCCGAGGACACCAAAGCACTTATGAGTTGTGATTGCGACAGCATAAATGTCGTTCTTTTGCTCCCCTAGTTCATGTGAGGTGTAGTGGACGGCGACATTTCGGTACTGCCGAGTTTGCGGCCGCCGACTATATCGATGCCTCTGGAGCCGCGATGTTCATCGGCGACGAGAGGAGCAGAAAAGTTGACGAGCTGGGGAGACATTCGGACCGCTCTGTCCCTTTTATAATGCTTAGCCCAGCGAATAAAGATACTTCGATTTGAAAGCCGAAACATCAGTGAGCGTCGAGGAAAAGGGTTGTTCGTGCGTCTTGTCTGAAAACGAATCGAACTATCGAACGAGCGTGCCGATAGCTCGGCGACTGAAAAGTTTTGATGAATATACAGCCAGACCGCTGACCTGCTTAGAATGCTTAGCCCAGCCGCAACGAATGAAGATGCTTAGATTGGAAAGCCGAAACACCAGTTACGTTGCGGGAAAGGTTTGTTCATGCATACCGCCTAAAAACGAATTGACGTGCTATCGAACAACGGTGTGCCGGTATTGCCGTGGCTTCCGCCTCGCTGCGAGACGGAACCGACGGAACCAGGGAATCTCTGACAAATTGGAGGGTTTCCTGCGTCGACGAGCGGGTTCAAGAATGTTGTCTTTAATTTAAATCGGAACAGCATGCATGGTCAAGAAATAGA